TCAAATCCACTGTCATGTGATTCTATGAATTATTGTGGTGTCGTTAACCCCTTTAAGGGTGTACATGTTTATGTTCGTTATGCAATGGGCAAACCAAGTTCTGAAACAGCACTTGTGGAACTTATGTCGTGTTTTGGGTGACTAAGTAGAAGAATGTGTTGTAGCTAAAATAGTTGACGATCTTTCTTGGGGAGGAAATTCAGAAGGTTATTTACTACTAAACTGGACAAGGGTTTTACAGCTCTTATAAAAACAGTTTAACTTTTTCTGCTACAAAAACAGTCATCGCACCCAAAAGTACAACTATTCTGGAAGGGATTTGGCAATCGAGAACTATTTGAGCTTACCCTCATTGCATTTCTAGTTTATCAGTTTGCCAACTTTGAAAATATGTGGGTACAGTCTTGTATAGGAGCATAAAAAGTTCTAGCATGAGTAACTGCTGATTAGGCTTCATTACTAGGTAAACTTGATGGTGTTGGAGCCGGTCATGAACCTAAGGAATCCATACAAGGTAAGACGAAATGACTGGAACGTTTTCACAGGCACAAAAAGCTCTTTCCACTAATCGTTCAATAACTTTGCCGCAACATAATGATCAGCTGTGAAATGTAACCGACGGTTCCGTCAAACAACATAGTTTAGGTGCTACTCTTTACATTACACGTGATAATAAATAAATGTAGCAGGATCTCCCAGTGCAAAGCTGCGTAAAAGCCAATTAACCTGGTTGCCGTGTGAAATTGATGTTCTGTCTATTGCATCAGCTGTTAAGCATTTTAGTCCGTATATCATACAATCAGAACATGCACAGGAGACGTTGTATTTAAGTATCAATATAGAGTGAATTGTTATGTGTTTCGTATATACACTTGTTATACTTTTTGTTTGTATTAAAATGGGCAGAATAATCCCCATCATCACTGGAGGGCAGTCTACCCTATCCAAGTGTTATTTCAACTAGTAAGAATATGTTTTCCTTGCAATCCAAATTCTTATTAATATTTAATGTTTCAAAATGAAAAAAAATTAGAAAAAATGCTAACGCCATAATAGGCTTAATTTTGATGTGTTGAGTCCGTTACTGTTAACTATGTTATAATTATGTTCTCTCTCTCTGTCTGTCATTGTTAAAGGCAGTACCATTGTGTAATGTGTTGATAATAAATTACTATTTAACCGATTATATTCAGTTACATATATGTAAATGACTTAATGCCCATGTGTACCATTATCTTAACTGGTAAAGACATGTAGGAGGTCTTGGGTTCGAAGCATATACCTTAAATTGGTATTTGCTACCTTGTGAACTAGCACGTTAAAATCAGACTCAGTGTGTCGGTGTAATACAAAGCAGGTTTAATATTCATATTACATTTATATGGTTTTGTCCTGAATATGCATTTAATTTGCCGCTGGGCGTGAAAAAGCCATCTACCACCATAGTTCTTTCATATACAAATAAATGCAGATTTTGATGTATATAAATAACATTATAGCATACAAAAACAATAAAACCAGGCACAAAAGAGAAGCCATTTTGAAACCAACAGAAGGCCATAAACAATACCATGTCATTTGTTAAGCACACGGTAGGATACTGATGTGAATTTAATGTGCTGTATGTGTGTTTTATTTTAAATTATAGTCTCATCACTGGTACTTTAAAATGTTCTCGACATTGAATTGTTATAAGTGAAATACTAGTGAATAAGATGCTACAAATTATATTTTGCAACTGTGATGCCACTAATACATGTGGAAACTTATGTTTCGTACATATGTTTCCGTTTTTACTGAAGACAGTGCAAAGAAAGTGCAAAATTGCTCATTTTAAGAAGAAACAGTGTCACTTTGCTTGTTAAATGTGATGCCAATAATATTAGTTTGAACTGCTTTAATGAAGCCTCAGTATATCTACTGGTATTAGAAATGTATGCTAGACATTGCTTCTAGCATTGGCAGCTAAGTATATATTTTGCGAACAGATCTGCGACAGTGTTGAAGAAAAGGGTGAAAGTTCAAAATACAACTTAAAATATATGTTAACCAATTTATTGGTGGAGCCGTAATCACACATACAGAAGATCAATACCAGAAGTGAATTTAGAAGTTGCATCTGCATATATCAACAAGAAGTACATAGATTTCATGAAAATTGAGTTGAAATGGTGAAGATCAATCGAATGTAAACTTATTGGAAGTTTAATTACATGCAGTTTACATAATTTTATTGATTTTTACCTAGATATTTATATTTATTAGAGCTTTGCCTTATACAAAAGTTCAATACAAAAAGATACCATACAGATACCGATCCAGGATTTTGAAAAGGGGTGGGGGCACAGTAGGCAACAGTAGGCAACTTTGGGGGTGGAACAGGTAAAAAAATTGAATTAACCATAAACGTAACTCCATGAGGGGGGCTTCTTCCATAATGATACTCAAAAACTATATTTCCAAATTCCAGTGGTGCTAAATCCAAAATATTTTAAGACAAATATTAGGAAACAATAACCATGTTAGTGCATAACTTTATTTTCTTTATTTACAAAGATTTCACATTTTTTGCATGCAGCGGAATGGCAAACTTGTCCCGAACAGTGTTTAATACTTTATTTTTGAAGCCTATGAACCATTTTGTAATGTGAAATAATTACTTTGAATAGTTCCTATTCAAGATACGATTATAATAATATTATTTATTCACACTGTGAATGTATTTTTAAATTGTCTGATAACAAAGATTAAATCACACACAGAGAGAGAGAGAGAGAGAGAGAGAGAGAGAGAGAGAGAGAGAGAGAGAGAGAGATATGTGCAAGCCTTTATGTACTGTACTTTTTAGATTTAAAAGTAAACAATAGTCATGCTTAACACAAAACAGTCGTCCGGTTAATTGTAATGTTAACGATTTAAAAAAAAAGTAGGAATGCGAGTCCAAAGCATAGTGAAAAAAGCAGACATTTTAGATAAGCAAATGTCGTCTTTTTGGGGACTAATATCAATTTCCTCATTGAAAGTCAATAAGCTAAGGAAATTGATATTGGTCCCTACAAATAAAAAACATATATTCAACAACATCAACACAATTATAAATTTTGGCACCATGGAATACAAGGACATTTCTGATTTATGATCGCTTAATATACTATTACCATAAAAGCTGAGTTTGAAATGCCACTTTCTATTAATTCTTGCGAGTGGAATGATATTTCTTCAGTAAATCCCTTTGTTGTAAAATTTAATAGAATAATTTGTATTATCATAGATCATTTATGAAAAGGTAAATGATCAAAATCGTAAACCTAACTACACACAACGGCAGTGATACAAAAACTGACTGCGAGATGTTCAAAAATGAGAAGGAACCAACAAGTCGACATCATAATGAAAAGTCGTCCTGTTTTTAATCAAATTTAGCGGTAAGGTTACGTAAGACGTTAGGATTTGAAAGGACAACGATCTCTAGCTTAAGTTCTGGTGAAGAAAATGATTTGCTTTATCTAAACAAATTATATAGTTTAAATATATTATATCTAATTTGTGATGATTTAAACAGGTGCAGGTGTTGTTATTATTAAGTAGCTTTTTGTTGGATCTGAATGAAGTAATTGTGTATTTTAATCCTTATATGATGAATGATATTTAACAAAAGGTTTTGTATTAAATAATCAACAGTCTATTTGTTTTTATGCAGTAAAGCTAACTACAGAAAAAGTTGTTGTCCCTCTTTTGTTTTATTTACAACTTACTTTTTCAGTTTTTATTTTTGATCATGGGAGTTCTCCAAGTCCGTCAATAGAAGTTTCTTTTTGAACCCAATAAGTTTTTTTTAGCCTTTTTGTATTTTGGTGTAATAAATGTATTCTTTAAATCACATTCAACCAAAACCTAAAATAAAAAAAAGTGACATTAATACAAGTCGAACATAGGAAATTGGACGTAATGCAGTTTGATTATTTATTTGTTTTACGTTTATAATGATCGTTCTTGCGACAGTTATTAAGGTATTATAACATATGTACGTAGATACTGTAAACATTTGATCAGTTTATTGCATATACAATGTGCGCAATGAATTTACTACTACACATTTGTTATGTTTCCTTTCTTCGTAAGAATAAAATAAACAAAAAACAAATTGAAAATTTGAAATTTGGCTGATTATTTGTCATGGCATTTATTCAACAATATTCAACAATATAAACCAATACAAATTATAGTAACATCAACAAACTTGCCAAAAAGTTAAAACTTGATGACAATTGATCACTGAAGATAAAACAAACAGTGAATGCAAAACAATTTCTAGCTGCTGGGCAGATCCATATCAATGAACAATATTTGAATAAATCACTGCCAATTGAATCATGTTGATGATGACATCCAACGTACTTTCCATATTGACCTGAATGCCATGAAGATAGATATATTTTTTTCATTTTTTACTGCAAATTCCTTGAATTTTCGGTTTTTATTGCATCTGCCGATGCATGTTGATAATTCGGACACTTTTGATGAAACATGATCATCTAATTGGAACATTCAATACATTTGGATCTGTATCCCATGCAACCTGAGAAATAAACTGAAACAGCAGCAATTTTGTTTATTAAAGGGAGGGAGGGTGAGTTGTACTATCTTGTTTAAAAATTGTCGTGGAATGAAAATTGAGCGGGAACACGTGTTTATATATGACCAAAGTCCACGAGGCACTTCAAAGCATATTCTTTCGTATCTTTATATATATGGTTTAAATGGCAAGCCGAAATAACTGGACTGTACATTTAAAACACAATAAACAAATAAATGTATTTTCAATGCAATAAAGCAATTTAATTATTACATCAGTAAATTTTAATAATCAATACAGCGAAAAGAACACAACGGCTAACATTACGGATGAAGGATAAATAGTCAGCATAATAAATATTTCAGTAGACTGACATGTTTTATTGATACCGTTTATTGAACAAGTTGTCACAGATGTTGTTTACGATTACAAGGTTTTAAATGGCTTCCCAGTACTTCGGATGCAGGTACAAACTGTACCAAAATTGCTGCAAGAAAACAAAATAAACAAGTTAATGTGTAAGTACATACTTTTTTTTCATTTGACAGTAACACGGAAAGATTTGTGTTCTCTTTTTCCACCCAATATAGGTTGCACTTCTGTAAATAAAGATAATGCAATTTCCCATAGGAACTCGCCTTACGACTAAAACTGTGCCTCGTTTACTATGAAGATTCGTAAAAAATCATATACTGGAATGGAAAGTTCATGTGCACTACTATTTGTTTTGTTAGGTCAAAATATAAGGTTGTGCGGCATATTTTCAACATTTATATGCCTTGAACTTGTCAGAGTTTAAACTTGTACTAACATTCTGTACTACCCTCCTTTCACTCTGAGTCTGCCTGAGAATTAAATTTTCCGCTATCAAACAGTATTTATACTGGTAAATTTCCCAAGTTGTGTCTCTATGAGTTGAAGCATGGAGATCATATCTGCAAACCAGTAGGTAAAAACGCAAAACATCTTTGAAAAATTAAAATCTTAAAAGAGGCGTGGTTTGTGAATCAGCAGTATTTACAAATGAAACCTACAACTAGCTTAAACACAATTATACAACAGTTGTAAAGAATAATTTGTGAAAGGATTTTTAAAGTATGTATGTATTACAAATAATGTTTATGTACAATAGATTTGGCAAACAAATAGTGATTAGAATAAACAATATTACTATATTTCAGTTGATTGAAATTGTATATTTAAACTGATTATTGATAAAGTTGACAAATGTTGTCGACGGTTACGAGGTATTTTAAACGTTATTCAAATACAGGCACAAAATGTATTAAAATTGCTGCAACAAAAACCAAATAAATGGGTTATTGTGTAGGTACATATTTTTGTCACTTAAAAGTAACAAGGACAGATTTGTGTACTGCAAATAAAAACTTCCTGAACGTGATGTATTGCATACTTTAACCGTATTTTTGTTTAAGATAAAGGCCACCAATAGAAAATCATAATACATTTTCCATAGAAAGGTAAGCAAATAATGAAAGATTTTCGATTCCTTCTATCAAACCAAACGTTCTATATAACATCAACAAATGTATATGCATGTATTTAAATGAAGAAGTTTTTAAAGCGCATTTTTGTGTTTAAACGTATAAAAAAAGTAACATAACAAAAATGCCGAACTCCAAGGAAAATTCAAAACGGAAAGTCCTTTATCAAATGGCAAAATCAAAAGCGCAAACACATCAAACGAATGAGAAGCAACTGTCACATTTCTGGCTTGGTACAGGCATTTCCTTATGTAGAAAAAATCATGGATTAACCTGGTTTTATAGCTAGCTAAACCTCTCACTTGTATGACAGTCGCAACAATGTGTGAGAAAAACAAAAAGTCATAAAAGTAAAAATGACAAAAATTTGGGTACAGCAGTCAAAATTGTGTTATAATCTTAATCAAAGAAAAACAAAATGGCATATAGACACTCTATAGAATATTGGAACTTTTTCTTTAAATGGTGAATTAAAATATCCTATAGTATGCTGTTAAACAAAACTCATTTCATTTACCGAAATTATTTGCTGAATGCCATTTTCATCCCAATCAATTTGAAGTATAATGCATTATCAATATCATACATTACATTGTATATTGATGAGAATTATTAATATACTGGTGCTACGGATGGAATAAGTCTTATTTCCTAAATACTAGCACATGTCGTGTATTTCCTGGCAAGTAAAAATTTGGGGATTAGTCGCATTGAATGATGTCATAATCAAGCAAAACAGATCGGGATTGTGGCTACAAGTTTAATGAACCCGTGATCATCTCTTACTTAGATATTTTATAATGGTTAACAAAAATACTATCAATTTTTGAAGGGACGGCTCAACATGATTGTACCAAACTCTTGGTTCAAAAGCTGCCTTATAAGTAGCAACTATATGTTCAAGAAAAAACAGGATAAGAAATAGATACAAGTCCTGGAATATTACATTAACTTGGAAATATTTACCAATAATCAATTTCCTTGCCCTGTAGGAAAGTTGCTACCCCGAAATGGCAAGTTCTAATAGAATCGAAGATTTTTTTTTATCGTAAAGTTAATTTCTCAACCATCCCTCATTGTCCATTTCTATATTTATGTCAAGAAGCCGATGTAACTGTATGCTTGATGTCGTTTGAACGTGATCCTGTAGAAAGATACAATCAACATAATCACCAAATGCATGTTGATATCATGGTGTTGTGAACGAAAACTTAACGTTTCCGAACTATGTTATATTCAAGCTAGTCTTTCAAAGAATAAGATTGCTTTTGATAGAAAAAAAAAAGGAAATGTAACTAGAATATACATATATGATGTTCTTTTAACCATCGAAATGTACCTCTAGCAACAATTATCAAGTAAGCACGTGATGTAGTGCTGATATCATCCCATTCGTATTTCAAAGTATTGGAAAACAAAAGGTAGGGTATGACAGATACAAAAAGTCATAAAAAGTTAATCGGACTAAATCTGTTTAGTTGTACTTGAGAAAAATGTGATCTTTTTTTAAAGTTCATTCAACATATCGAAAACTTCAAATATCGACAAACAAGAAGTAGGTGTCAGGCAGACATGATAAGTGCTCACAATTTACATTAAATCACTGTCAAGATGCTGACTAATAATGCAGTCATTCTGTTCAGTAGTTCCTCAGAAAGGATTGTCTGAAATATTTGTTGGACGAATGGACAAACAGACGGACGCTCAATGTGAAAACAATATAACACCAACTCTTTGAGTTATGGGGGGGGGGGGGGGGGGTAATATCAGTTGTATATATATTCCTGATCAAGAAAAAAATTAAAATGAGAAAGATAATGATTTGCTGGCCGCAAAAATATGAAAAAAATATCCACAAGTGACAAAATGATGTAGATGTAGGCAACGAATGGTTACTGTGTGGCCTTCAATAATAAACAAAATGACGAAGGAAAAACTGTTCAAAGGGAAAAATCAACAGCCTTATTTATATATTTATAAAATAAACACACAACAAATTTGACACACAGCAACCAATGACATTCACACCAACGGCACAAACGTGGAAGTACATATGATGAGAACCCTTATTTGGCCACATGAAATTGCAAAAATAGTAAATTTATTCAAGTCTTTCAAAATTAAAGTAATTCAATTGATTAATGAAAAAGATAATATAATCTTGACGCTTTAGTGCGGAAAGGTTACTTGTGATGTCTCTATGATGTGATAAAAATGTCGTTATTTACGTATTTGCTGCTTGTTGTTGTACTTTTCTCGATGTCCTCCATCCAATGTCTGTTATTTCTTTGTCTACCATTCGTCTCCAGTTTCCTTTGGTCTTCCTACATTTCTCTTTCCTGTTGTTGTCCACGTCTAGCCGATTCGAAAATCGTTCCATGGGTCTATTCTCAGGATGTGACCTATCCAACTCCAAATCCTGGTCTTAATGGTGTTGTTGATGCTGCACATGTTGGCTCTTTGCAGCAGTTTTGTGTTAGAAATCGTAGTTGGCCAGAATATCTTGAAGATTCTACGCAAGTTTTTATTGTTAAAGGTGTTAATTTTTTCTCAATTTCTCTTGCTTATTTTCAACAGTCTGTCCCATAAAACAACACTGATAGTGCATTGCTTTTTATAAATTTCCTTTTTGGTGTTCCTACTGTATTGGTTCTATGCCCAAATTTGGCTTAGCTTGTAGTTTCTCTTTTTGTAGTAGCTCTATTTCTTCGTTGTCCAATGTAAAAGGCTGGATGTTGTTTACCTTTACACACATTATTTTACTTTTCTTCTTGTTTACTTTTAATCCAGTTGTTGCAGCTATCCATTGTATATCATCAGGAGAGCTATATCATCTGCAATGTCAAGATCTTCTAATATCCTTAATCTTCCCCAGTTAATACCGCGTCTTTTCTGTGTTGTTTCTTTCATTGTCACGTTTCAAACGAGTAAGAAAAGGTATCCCGACATAACAAATCATGCCTGACTGCAAATATAATGTGGAACCATTCCTAAAGTTTACCCTCATGTTCAACTACACAATTGAAGTGATCATAAAATGCTTGTGCCATCCTGATGATTTTACCTGGGATTCCATAATTTGCCGTGATCTTTTTAAAAGTTTCTCGATGAATAGTGTTAAACGTCCTTTTGAAGTCGATATATAAGGGTCTGTTCAATTCACTGCACTGTTCTACTATATTTATTAGAATGAATATTTGGTTGATACAGCCTCGACCTCTTCGGAACCCAGAATGATGTCAATAGCATCTCTAATTATGTTGGTGATAATTCTGCAGAGGAGTTTGCAAGGTACAGATAATAATGTTATTCCTCTCCAGTTGTCACAATCTTCTAAATTTCATTTTATTTAAGAGGTTGATTATAATTCCCTTTTGCCAGTTTGTTGGTATTTCTTCCCTGTGTCAAATCTTTTTAAATAGATGACAAAAGACTTTTGCTATTGTCTTTCTATCAGCTTTTAATAGTTCAGCATGTATATATTGTCTTTACCTGGGTCTTTACCATAACTGATTGCCCTTATACTATGTATTATCTCTTCTATGGTTAGTGGTTCATTATTCATATCAACAACATCTCCATGTCGAATATCTGCTAGCACTGGTGGAGCTTGCGAGTTTAAAATCTCTTCAAAGTGTTCTTTCTATCTCTCTAATTGTTCCTTCTCGTTTGTTATTTCATGTCCATCTTTTGACTTTACAGGTATGCTTCCTCTCATGCCACTGTTGGAAATGTTCTGGCTTAGCATGTATAACTTGTTTGACCTCCCTTGTTTGTCACATCTGCTGCACTTTTTGTTATATTATTTATGAATTTTCTTTTATCATTTCTTGTACAAAATGTTGCCTCTTTGTACTTTTCTTTATAATCTTTCTCCAGCTTTTCTTTCTGCCTTTGTGATCTTGTAACACTATTTTTTTGTTTTATCTGCTTTCGTTCTTGTATTTTGTGTATACTGCACGTTGGCAGTGATTCATTCTGATTGTTTCCTGTCTTTAAAACCCAGTGTTTTCTCGTCAACCTCACATATTGCTTGTTTGTTATCAATTCACTTCTATGCCTTCTGTTTCCCCCAATACCTGTTATCTGTTTCTTAACTCCAGTTTGAACTCCTATGCAACTTTTGGTATCTTTTACATATCTGTGTCATATCATTTCTTCTGTTCCTGATAGGGGCCTCGTTGGCCGAGTGGTCTAAGTAATCGAACTACTGTATCACTAGCCAATCAACACTGAGGTTGTGAGTTCGAGTACCGCACGGGGCAGGTGCACTCGACTCCAATCTTAATTGATTAGGATTGTCAGCGTTCCTACCGAAGGTCGTTGGTTCTCTCCGGGCACTTCGGCTTCCTCCACCAATAAAAACTGACTGCCACCAAACAGCACAATAGTGTTGAAAGTTGCGTTAAACACCAACCAATCAATCAATCAATCTGTCCTGATATATTCTTTGCCGACAAAGTTTTAACTTAACTCTGGAAACTTATTCATGATCGCTACCAACTTCAGCTCCTCTATACGATCTTACATCTTCTAGAGATCTTCTAAACCGTTTGTCAAACGTGATGTGGTCATTCTGATTCTTTTAAATGTTTCCGTCTGATGAAGTCCATGTGTATTTATGAATATATTTGTGTTGGAATATTCTGGAACCAATTAAAAGGTTGTCAGTCTGACAATAGTCTCTAAATAGTTCTCATTCTCATTGATAACACAATGCCCATTCTTCCCATCATACCTCTATATGCAACATTATCTGATCCTATCTTTGCATTTATATCACCCATTGCTGTTATCATATCATATATAGGGATTTTTTCTGTCACATCATTCAAGGTTTGATAGAACTCCTCTAACAGCAAAATATAATGTAAATATCAGTTGCTTCTTCATTTATCAGATAGGCGCGAATCACATGTAAAAACTAACAAAAAAAATAAAGACACCGATATACGAGTATCCAATGTTTTGTAAAAGCTGGTTCAAAGCCAAATACGGCTTAAAAATAAATAATGTTTTCCCTGACTAAAATTCCAATCAATACACATCCAACGGATTAAGTGTAATTTCATCATTAACAGTTTCAGAAAAGCATGAAATTATGAAATGCCAAAATATAAGTATCGCTTGGATGTGGGAAAATAAGTGTTTACAATTGTATAGCAAGACATATTTAGTAATGATTTTAATTATTAAGAACAAAATCAATGTTAGCACTGATAACGACAATACTCAAAGATGTTACTAAAGAGTTAAAATGCTTACCTTTACGAATAAGTTTAATTAAAAAAAGCAATAAAAGAGGGACGAAAGATACCAGAGGGACAGTCAAACTCATAGATAGAAAACAAACTGACAACGCCATGGCCAAAAATCAGACAAATAATAGTACAGATGACACAACATAGAAAACTAAAGACTAAGCAACACGAACCCCACCAAAAACTGGGGGTGATCTCAGGTGCTCCGGAAGGGTAAGCAGATCCTGCTCCACATGTGGCACCCGTCGTGTTGCTTATGTTATTACAAATCCGGTAAATAGTTTAATTCGGTAAGTCACATTCGTGAAAAGGGAAGGGTATTGTAGTTACGACATAAGGAACATATCCGATATCATCTGTGAAACGGTTATTCCATAACGGTCAACCAACTCGTGATGGCGTCCGTAAAATTTACGAATGGATGATTTCAACTTCACCATTTGGAACTCTTGGTTTAATAGCTTCCTTGTGAGCAAATTGGGAGATATATACTCCGTATGCAGGCGCTGCTGGAATGTTGCTACATAGAAATGGAAAGTTCACAATTGGGAAGCTGAAATCATCTCTTTTGTCGTAAAGTTTTGTTTTCAACCGACCCTCATTGTCAATTTCTAGATGTAAGTCAAGATATGAGGCAGACTTAACTGTATCTGTATTATCCTTTATCTCTAGTTCAATGGGATAGATTCGTTCAACATAGTCACCAAATTTTGTATTATTTAGTGAGAGAACATCATCTATATAGCGGAAAGTAGAGTTAAAGGATATTGCTAACTTCTTATATTTCTTCCTAATAACAATAAGTTACGTTGATCGTCTCTTAATTTACGGGCTCTATAAACAACATCTACGTAAAAAAAGAGTGTGATGTCCCATTCAGTTGCAACCAAAACTTACACGAAATTTCTAGCATAATACAAGTCGTTTTACTATTTATTCTTATTTCAAGATATCTCATATAATATATAAGATATCTCATATAATATATAAGATATCTCATATAATATATAAGATATCTTATATAATCTAGTTTTTATAAGGTATCTTATAAACTTTATAAGATATCTTAAATACTTATTAGATATCTTATATGCTTAATAAGATATTTTCTAAAGTTTATAAGATATCTTCTAAAGTATACAAGATATCTTATAAAGTTTATAAGATATATTTTGAATATTTTTAATATAAGATATCTTATATACTTTATAAGATATCTAATAATATTTTATATAATCTTTTTAAATAGATGACAAAAGACTTTTGCTATTGTCACTATATCAGCTTTTAATAGTTCAGCTTGTATATATATTGCCTTTACCTGTGTCTTGACCATTACTGAGTGCCCTTATACTATGTATTATCTCTTCTATGGTCAGTGGTTCAATATTCATATCAACTCATCTAGTTCCTAGAAAATTGGTACCGTTAATGTTATCATTTATATGAATGAGACTTTCACATATTCAATAATTTTATAAAGAAACATATTGACTTTTGTATCATGAATTTAAATAAAACTCTCGGCTAAAGGACGAAGATCAAAATTTAGACTTAACATAACATAGATAACATATCGTTTAACTCATTGACAGATGTACAGTTTACATTAAGTAGAGATTAAGAGGAAACGACTACAGAAATTTTAGGTAAGTGAAAGCTAAGTATATTTCCTTGTGATATAGTTATTAAGAATTTAAAAAAAAGAATTACTTATTAGTAAATAGTGCGAGGCGATTTAAAAACGAAAACATGATCACTATGCATGCCATGAGTAATACAGCATTTCACTGACACATGTGTTATGTATAAATTAAAAACAATATGACCTGAACAAAATGTTTAGTATAGGTTAACGAGTTTACAACAAAAACCAAAATAATACAACACCCATTTTGAAATAAGACTTTTATGTATAAATTCCGTCTATGAATCAAAGAAATAGATAATTAAACAATAACCTAATCACAACAAATGAACATCTATAGAGCAGCATACTGCAAGAAAAATAAAAAAAAATTTCAGACTTATAATTTGAACGCTAGAATTGAGTTCCGGAATATTGAAGGACAGATGTACAAGACATTCATCACATAGCGATGATCTTAGATTATATCAAATTGGAATAAGCACTCAATGATAAAATCCGGACTTTGACTTGGATGGAGAATTGTCTCACTGGCACTCATACCACATCTTCTTATTTATATTTTGACAGGGATTTGTCATCTTCCATTTATCATTTTGAACAAAGGTTTGCATAAAGTAAAAAAGAAATGCATAAAAATACATGTAGACATAAACTAGATAATAAGTTTATCAAAATTATCAAATATGTATTAAAGAAATGTTCAACGCATGTGAGAAAATAGTATGAGATAGTAGACTTAAAGTGTTTGTTCTAATGATAATAAAATTTTATCATGCTTTAAACTGATAATCAAAAAATATAGACCAACTAAGGTGCGATACAAAAAAGAGGGAGAAAATACCAATGGGGGTAATCAAAAACCATATGTAAAAAAATCCAGACATTTTTTTTCGAAATTAATAATATCTAATGAATAATAATGAATAACACCGGGACTGCAACTACGACAAATTTTATACAAACATAGGAGCCTATTGTCAAGATTGTGCTTCAGTTTTGTGTTTGTTTTTGTAATGTGGGTTTTATTACATATTATGTATTAGTGCGGTGACGGAATAGGAAAAAGTCAAATATTAAAAGAGTTTAATTTCACTTCACAATACACGGCTAAAAATTTGCACAGTCATAGAAAAATTATTCTACTTGAATTTAAGATTGGTCGTCAAAAAGTCGTATGGTGCAGTTTTTTTTTATTTTAGCGTTTAGCTAGCAAATTTGACTCCAAATGCAGATCATGAGTGGCATACAGTTTGGCTTTTTATTCAAAGGCTGCATTCAAATATATGTCTTTTTTTGATTTGTTCAAACAAAACACATAATGCTTAATTCATTATGTGAAAAAGATAATCGTAAAAGCCTTTTGATAACAAATTATGAAGGTACAAATTACTGTAAACGGGGACATTTTGTCTTTTACCGTATTCCAACATCATACAATAAAGCGCTAATGAATGAATTATATCGTAACTACTAAAAACTAATAAAACTGCAATTTTTCTTTTCATATACACAAGTTTTTATATGGTAAGATTTTTTAAAACGATATTTTTTTAAACTTTCAAAAATTTCTACTATTCAATCATTATCTTTAAAAACATTCCGGAAAGTTGTGCCCCGTCCCTGATTTGGCTGAATACATAGTTTTCCTCCAAAATTAAGGACTTGATATAACTTGTTTATGAATATGTTTTATTGTTTCGTTGATTTATTTGGGTGTCTGTAATTTATTTTTGAGGTTGTGTTGATATAGTTTTATTCATATAAGAGGCAAAATGCGTTTTCCGGTTGTTTATTTAAGAAATGGGGATCCGACAAAATCCCCAAAGATGACAAAACTGGGAAGTCCGTTGAAAATTGGCTTTAACATTTCAAAGAAGCAAACATTAAATTTAATCCCTTGAATAGTGCTATTTTTATAAAAGCAGAAGTGGGATAATTGTTTTATTTCACTTACAATCAACCGCGGTATTTTGATAGTCGATAGGTGTAATGATGAAATTTGCCCGAAAGTGCGCGGATGATTGTGAATTGATAATTCGTTTGGAAATTGTTTATTATAAAAGTGGACACTAATGATGCACAAGTCAACATAACATAACAGTGTTTACAGTCCATACTGCAATTGGAAATGCAGAACCTTTTCAAAACCTATAGAAAACCATTTTGCTTAGTTCTTTGATTTCAAATTCAGACATATTGAAGATTTCCTGTCTCTCTATAATCCACATGTCAGTCAGTACTTAAATTCATATACCCCAGTGAGCTAGTGATAAAGGATACTAAAGAAACTAGAATGTCTGCTTCATATTTTGACCTTTTCTTTGATATTGACACAGATTGACGACTTCAAACAAAACCTATGACAAACTTTTGATGACAATTTTAACTTTCCAATTGTCAATTTCCCCATGTCTCAATTGTACTATATCCTTTGCGCCATCGTATGGTGTTTTAATTACATGTATCAATTGATGTCTTACGCACGTGCATGTTGAGTCAGTGACTTAATGAACAGGGGTGTACTCCTAACATTTAACTGCTTAAAAATGGCCGCAGATTTCAAAGGGATACTCAAACTTATCGTCCTTCCCTTCGCCTATATCACCCTGCTCAGTCGCCCGTTATTCTCGTATCACGGCTTTGAGACGAGAGCAGGCATTATCAGCGACGTCACAATGTCTGAGGAGAAGTTATCTAGGGAGGAGAAAAAGACCAGTAATAGAACGATAAACAGATAATCGTGTTTTCTTCGTATATAGAATTTGTAAAATATCAGCCACTCGACACAATGTGAAGCTTTTTAGCTCGTTCGCTGCGCTCACTCGCCAAAAAGTTCACATTGTGGCTAGCGGCTGATGTCTAGCGATAGCAATGTGTAGAAAACCCGATAATCTAATTTATTAGTCGACGACAACATCACAACGTCATGGCAAAAGTCGAAGAACGTCGTAAAGACAAACAAAATTCTTCAAAACACTACATAGAAAACTAAAAATCATCACGAACCTTACTGAAAACCGGGGGTTATCTCGGGTGCCATCGGAAGGTGTAGCAGATTCTGCTCCACATTTGACACCTGAGTGTCGAACGTGAAAATGCAGATTTGGTGATACGCACTGACTTTTGAGGAAGAACCGGCGACTGAAATAGACACAAAATAAGTTTTTAGGTCACCATCACGAATAATGTTCATTCAAGCTCTGCCGTGTCTCAACTCACTAGCAGCATCTTTTCGCGGTTGGAGTTCTTAAGATACTAAGTATTAGATCAGATCTGAAAATTTGACATTTGACTTGTGTCCCATTCCTGTTTGTAACATGTTGATAGTTTTGATTCGCATGGCACGTGATGCATGCTGGTGACGCAATCGATCTGAACTATTTTTGAAGTTCTTGGAATTTTTTGTTCGGTAAATTGCTGTTGCCTCTAATGTTTCTTAGAGACATACATATAAAATAGCAGCCGGTTTAAGTCAAGAAATCGAAGTCACGGATATCAAAGGTTGTGTTTTATGTACTATGGTTTGTCTGTGGGTGTGTTTCTTTTATTGGTCATGGCGTTGTCAGTTTATTTTTGACTTATGAGTTTAAATGTCACTCTGGTATCTTTCGTCTCTCTTTGAAATGAATTTATGTTTTTTCATATGCTTGCATATATTGTAATAAAAAAAGCTATAACAAAGGAAAGGGATAAAACACTATAAAACAATATATTCAAGTAAAGGCTTTGTAAGCAAACTTTTCATACAACCACTATATCCTTTACGGGGATTAAAACTTTATTCATTTATTACAAAGACAAGTTTACAGAAACAAGTTTTTTACCACCAGCAGTGCAATATCTATGCTTACTCTAGTTCAGAAATTAAATCAATTATACAGACCAGACAATCGGAAACATTCCACAGACTATAATTATGTGATCATAGCAAGTGTATACTGTCGATCAGAGATGTTTTTTTTCTTGACTTTTGTTGAGAGATATCTAGAGTTGCAAGAAGCAGGACAAACCATTCTTTTCTGGTCAGGGTTAATTTGACATTTGTCCTAGTTACTGTTACTTTTGTTTTATGTCCCCCAATTTTAGATTGATATGGCCAAAGTGTATTTTGCAAATACGAAATGTTTTTGAAATGTCCAATGATGCTGGATAAAAGCACGCTACATGTGGTACAAAAACATTTGACCACCACTCTATTCCAATGCACAACAGGTTAAATGTCCGAAGCTTAACATCGTGTTCGCAATATTATTATAGGATTTGTGGTTTAAGAAATTTGTCGTGTTCTTTAACCACTTTGGACCAATATTGATACTCGAGATTTGCTAAACCTTCCATGTACGAACATATGTATTCCAGCCAAAAGTCAGAACCTTGTAATAACGTTTCCATAATACAAAGGTCATTTGAGGTCTGAATTACTTATTACAGTTACTATGTTTTGGGCGATGTTAAACCATCCGGCATAGAAGTACATTTCTTATCTGGTGTCACTTAGTTTGGGATTGAATAACCGAAACTTTCTCAATATTTAAACAAATAAAAGGCGGTTCTATCATTGAAAATGTCTCTTTAAAGTTGTTAGTCTATTTTATAATAATTCACATTCCTATTAATACATTTTATTTCATACAAAACCTCATGACATTATTTAAACTCAATTATAAGTCTGTTTTGAAATAATTTTTGTTGCCAGTTTTGCATGTACCGAATTCAACGTATATGCCCAAAACTCAAGTTTCCACTTTCATTGGGGTATAATAGATAGTTATATTAACAAATACATATTTTTTCATATTTTTCTTTACATTTTGTATAGTTTTGACGGCCTTTGTTCTTATAATTTGAAAAAGACACATCTTTTTAAACTGAAAATCACCCCCCTTTTTGTAAAGTCGCATACGTTTACTCGGAATTCTCATTTAATGATGAGTTTCCTCTTTTTTGATGAAAAATTGAATAAGGAAGAAGATAGATTCAAGATTTCAATCATTCTACTGCTAAAAGAGTATTTGAATTGGAATTAGATATTCAATTTTGTTTTTCCTTGAAAACGACATGTGACCTTTGATCTTGATTTCTGAAAATCTGCACCATATTTTCTTTTGACGACCAAATTAATCTCAAAGTACACATATTTTCGAATCGAATGGTATATGATATAGCCGTGTACTATTTTTGACGATTAAATTTTTATAATTCCGACTTTGGTCACCGGCCTATATGGATAAAGATCTTAAATCCTTTTGTGAAATTTTCATAAAAGGTAAAAAAAAAAAAAAAAGAAAAGAATTTTGAATGAGTTTTGAAATAAACACAATTAAAGCGAAGTTGACTACATTAGTCGATCGTCGTATTTTGAACTACTTGTACATTGGTACTGGCATAAAAATATAGATATTGTTTGATTCAAATTTGATGTTTAAACATTTTAGAAATAATTTGAAGTTAATGAATATATCTCCCTCATGCAAAGCTCTGATTCTTTGTCCGGGTCTGTCTTTACTTTAGGTCCTTTTTGGTTTAATCAAATGTTCAACATTTTTTACTGGATTTGGTTTTAAAAAATGTGCTTTGCCTCGAGCTTCATTGGTGAGACATTTGTTGTCGAAGTGCGCATCTGGTGCAGTACAATAGGTACCGTGAATACTGTATTGATAATGGCGGGTTTGAAGATTTCATGCTGCGGATAAATCTATTTAAAAAGTTTTAGGACACTAGATTCAGACAATAAAACTGTTCAAAAATCATCATTCAACTCGTTTTAGTAGTAGATTAACAATTTCGATAAATTGTACCGTTTTTGTTTTGGATCAATCAAGTGAACCGACATATTCTGCAGTACGAACAGGTATGAATCAAGATGGATACCAAGATATACTGCGGTTATCTTAAAACCTCATTTGAATAACTTCTTGGTGACGCCGCTGTAGCCGCGAAACATGTTGATACCATAGAAATAATAACTTTGTGGAAGCCATGATAACGCTGTCGCTTTTATAGTATATTTAAACCAAACCGAACGTCATAATGTATTCATTATCTACATCTCTTTCAGGATTTTGTTCGTGTTTTTCTGATTTCCCACAGATTCGTTCCTTTAGTATTACAGAGTGTAGACCCAATTGTACCGATTTCTCTACTTAATCGTATGTAGATGGGAATATCGATACGCAATGAATGGGAAGATAATATATCAGTTTCTTTTTTTTATAGTACGTAAGCACATATATTTCTTATCGGACCAATATTAAACCATCTGTCATTTTAAACCATCAGTTTATGAAGTGAAGATTATCAAAATTAAACCATGTTTATTGATATGTAATAATCAGAAAACAAATATTAATCAAAACTATTCATCATTTGATACGTTGATTGATTGTTGTTTGCATATCGGCCAGTGGAAAATATTTCATGTATATTTAGAACGAGACCAAAGTTAAAATTGATACAATCAGTTGCTTCTGCAGATTGGATTGTTCAGAATGAAGTGCGAGAAATTGACTCTGCCACAAGAAATAAGGGTATGTTTAATAGGGACAGAAATTAATTTTGATTGCACCAGTCCACGTTAGGCAGACCAAACCTTGTTGCATATGTTAACATCCAAGACAGTCGAACGGAAGCATGGATTTTACTATGGATTGTTGACGTTTAGGTGACTACATTTCTACACCTCAGTTAACTATAAGGGTGTCTAGCATAAGTGCAATAGTTTTAACCGGTTACTTTATCAAATGTATTTTTACAATGTAACATTGGATTCAACGTCATAATCGTATTAAATGAAAATGTTCATGTTATAAATTAGAATAATATTACTTATTTTATAAGCGAATTACTGATGAACTTTAAAGTAATGATATCCTACCAGTATGTCCTTAAATAAAAAGCAACATCTGATTTCTTTTGTTATGTGAATTTGATTCATCCAATGCAAGAAAGAGAAAAAAAAGAAAGTGCATAGAAATAAACTTATGAATTAAAAAACATTAATATTTACAGATAAATACAACTCTCTATGGACTTGACAATGCTTTTACCTTGCATTGCCCCTTTAATTCGCAGTGGAAATTTAAAGCAAGGGGAAAATGTAATATATCCGACACATATCAGTGTTTATACGATGTAAATAAATTGCAGAACATTGAATCATGCAGGGACAGACCACATTTTGAAGCGCCTGGTATGTATTCCTCTTCCATGTATAGGTGTAGTGGGTTACAAACAATCACCAATATATGAATCTGTGGTCTTTTTGTTGATATGGGATTCATTTTCTCACATTTCATGTTAATACAGGTTCACTCAATACTATAATTGAGCTTTTTTTTTTGGTTTTTGTCAGAAAATGGAGCTGCAAAAACCGGGACCAATTGTCAGACACGTGGGAAGTTGAGTGCCATAGAAGTAGACGGAAAGTTTCTTCATTAAGCCAAGGATTTAAAAATGTTCCAAACATTGATATATGAATACAAAATATTAGACAACTGTCCACCAAGACCAATATCATTTGTCCTAGTAAAGTCCTTTTGAATATATAAGAAAACTTAATATGATGCACCATGACTTATGTCATCTCCGATGTTAATACTATGAAATGCATATGTATAACAGATATGCTTCTGACATTTAAGAAAGTATCACAATAGTTCTGGATTCTAGCACATACGTGATCTTTTAGATAATAGAACTGCTACTTACAACGACTCATAACTTTCTTTGATTATTAACATTATTTAGTTCTTTCAAAAGAAAAAAAATTGTAAAAGGCAAGTTTCCATCATATCAAATATCTGTACGTTTTTGAAATGTAAATATTTTATCCTAATCCGCCAATTTTAAAATTTTAAAATACAACTCCCAGGTACTTGCATTCCATTGCCTTTGACCATCTAATATTTTTCAAATGAACGTAACACGTGAATGATTCAGAATCAAGAAATACGTATCAAACACAGTTGAACCGTACGTAGTATATTGATTTGATTGTTTAGCTCATACATATTTATATTTTGTTGAATTGTGAATAATTTTTGTAAAATAAGGAGATGTGGTATGATGGCCAATATGACAACTATCCATCAGAAATCAAGGAACGTAGATGTTAGCAACTATAAGTCACCAGAAATGAGTAAAACCCATACATCATATCATCGTTTTTAGCATTGCAGTTGTTTTAAACAAGAAAGAAGATACAAAAAAGTGTGAGTGGGAGTGGTAGAGATTGGTCTACGCAAACTACATAAAAGCAAGGAGATAAGGACAGGCTCATTGGAAGATCAAGCAGTCATTTTACTTCAGTGACATCCGTCAATTTTCACATTTGTTATACATGTATACTGGTTACCCTTTGCAAAAATCGAAGTCACAAACGAAGAAAAGAGAACTGCATTGCGTCTACAATAAAAGACACACATCCGCGACATAAGTAACAGACCGCTCCAGTAAACCACGATGCCGTCCATAAAACTTTCTTTCAGATGACTATAACTTTACTGATGGTTCTAAAACATTCAACAACCCTATCACGGTAAGCAGCAATCCCTTAGAAAAAGATCAACTTGGAGACACATTGAACATACGCCTCTCTGTCGGAATTTGTGGTTTAAATTGAAAATTAACAATGAAAAACGTTAATTTAAAATGATATCCTCTCTCAATACCTAGATGTAAATCAAAACCCGAGGCAGACCTAAATGCATAAAATAGCGGTAAAGGCGGCTTGTTTTGCTTTACCCTGATTCCTTTTGAAGTTAGTATCATTAACAATATATCGGCAAAAAGAAGAGATCAGTTCGTTCACACGTGAGTGACGAACATATATATATAAGTGCCTATAAATAGCAGCACATGACATACAAATCTATGGGAGTGTGGATTAATCAGTACAGAGATTAATTCAATTACACAAATAAAATTATAGATTGCCTAACAATGTTTTTTTAACACACTATTTAGTATGTAAATATAAGAATGTTTAAAATATTTACAAAATGATGAAAATAAACGCAATATTTCGCTAGACTAACTAGCTTTATCAAGCGTGCATCTATCCAGGTGAAATCGGATGTAGATGATAAGAAACTTTTGCAGCTCAATGTATATGTTGCACTTGAATTTAGCTGCCTTGAAAATAATACATAATTTGGATGAAGTTCAAGATTTTTACAAAATTGGTAGTTGAAGTTAGCAACGTCCATCGGCCAATATTACAGGATAAAAAGGACGATGCTGTGTACTAAATTATTCTTTATCTTTCCTGTATCTTTTCTCATCTTTTTCGTTAAGACCATCAGATTCTAAAGTGTGGAGTTGGTGGATCCAAAAATTTTCTCTTCTCCTTCTCGCCGTGGTGTCCCACTCGGTGTTGACTTCTATGATTTGGAAGGTAACATTATCAAAAGAATGTTTCGTTGAACGAAGATGTCTTGTGAGAGGACAGTTTTTGTTTGTTTTGTACCATGAACGATGGTTATTGAGCCGAATATTAAATTTGTCCATAGTTTCTCCCACATACTGAATGCCACATGTGTCACATGTTAATATATAAATTGAGTTCTCCGTTTTACAGTTGGAATTTGAGTAGATGGTATAATTTTGTTTAGTAACGGAGCTGATGAAAGAACTGCTTGTATTGGCAGCTTTACAACACAAGCAGTTCCTTCGACCACATTGTGTGTAGCAACCGGGAGATGGAGTAGGCTGCTTTGCTAATACAGATGTCACTAATTTGTCACGGATGTTTTTAGGTCTTCTGAAGGCCATGACTGGTGGTGAGGAAAATACTTTTTTAAGATTTGAATCATTTTCTATAATTTTCCAATGCTTCTGAACAATGGAAGACACATTTTTAAAATCAGGATGGTAAGTGAGTACAAGGGGTGTTCTGTTAGCTGCTTTATTCTTATCTTTGTACTCTAGAAGTTCTTGGCGACTAGTTTTGTTTGCTCTTTCGAAAGCGCTATCAATGATGTTGTTATTGTATCCTCGAACAACTAGATGTTTACGTAGTTGTCCAAGTCTAGCATTTTGCGTATTTTCAGTAGAGCATATTCTCTTGATTCGCAATGCCTGGCTGAATGGGATGCCACGGGAGCAGTGTTTAGGATGGCAACTTTTAGGAGAAAGGAATTGATGTTTGTCCGTTTGTTTGGTATGAAGGTCCGTTATAATGGTTCCGTTCTTGATGTAACTCGTAGTGTCGAGGAAGTTTATTTTCTCCATAGATGATTCATATGTAAATTTTATTGAATGGTGGAAAGAGTTACAGTGTCCTAGAAATTCATTAAGATGTTCTTGTGAATCTGTCCATTTGAAATCAATATCGTCAATGAATCGGAACCATGATAAGGGCTGGTATGGAGCACTAGCCAAGAGGCGTTTTTCAAGTTGGCCCATAAATATGTTGGCATATGACGGAGCCATTTTTGTGCCCATACTAGTACCGTCTATCTGGAGATAATGTTTTTCATTAAAAGAGAAGTTGTTGTTCTCTAGCACTAGTTTCAGAAGTGTAACAAGGCACTCAGTTGGAGGATTTTTTTCACTACGAGTGTTCCATACCTCTTCACACGCTGCTATTCCTTCGTCTTGTGGAATGTTGGTATATAAAGAAGACACGTCCATGGATGCAAGTATAGTATTGCTTGGTAGAGGATTGAGGCTTTCCATTTTCTTTAGATAATCAGTCGTATCTTGGATGTAAGAGGGTAGTTCTTTCACATGAGGTCTTAGATGATGGTCTACAAATTCTGATATCTTTTCAGTTGGATGACTATTTGCTGAAACCACCTAAGAGTAAAAATGACAACTTGGAGTCATTCATTAACTACGTGAGGTCTGATATAAAGTCCTGTATAACAAATACAAGAAATTATAATTTATCCAAGTCAGAAAGCATTGCTTTGAAAGCGTTAAAAAATCAAGAGGATATCGTAATAAAACCTGCCGACAAAGGGGGCGCTGTGGTTGTCATGAATAAAACATATTACATAGCAGAGGGAAATCGCCAACTTTCAAACTCCATTTTTTTATAAACAATTAACCACAGATCCAACACTAAATACTATTCGAAGGATCAACACCATCCTTCAGGAGATGTTCGACAAAAAGCATATAGACAATGACACCTTTGATTATCTCCGACCTCTTGAGAACGAAGCAAAGGCCGGAAGATTCTATATGTTGCCTAAAATACATAAAACGGGCAATCCAGGTCGACCAATTGTTTCAGCAAATAGTCATCCAACTGAAAAGATATCAGAATTTGTAGACCATCATCTAAGACCTCATGTGAAAGAACTACCCTCTTACATCCAAGATACGACTGATTATCTAAAGAAAATGGAAAGCCTCAATCCTCTTCCAAGCAATACTATACTTGCATCCATGGACGTGTCTTCTTTATATACCAACATTCCACAAGACGAAGGAATAGCAGCGTGTGAAGAGCTATGGAACACTCGTAGTGAAAAAAATCCTCCAACTGAGTGCCTTGTTACACTTCTGAAACTAGTGCTAGAGAACAACAACTTCTCTTTCAATGAAAAACATTATCTCCAGATAGACGGTACTAGTATGGGCACAAAAATGGCCCCGTCATATGCCAACATATTTATGGGCCAACTTGAAAAACGCCTCTTGGCTAGTGCTCCATACCAGCCCTTATCATGGTTCCGATTCATTGACGATATTGATTTCAAATGGACAGATTCACAAGAACATCTTAATGAATTTCTAGGACACTGTAACTCTTTCCACCATTCAATAAAATTTACATATGAATCATCTATGGAGAAAATAAACTTCCTCGACACTACGAGTTACATCAAGAACGGAACCATTATAACGGACCTTCATACCAAACAAACGGACAAACCTCAATTCCTTTCTCCTAAAAGTTGCCATCCTAAACACTGCTCCCGTGGCATCCCATTCAGCCAGGCATTGCGAATCAAGAGAATATGCTCTACTGAAAATACGCAAAATGCTAGACTTGGACAACTACGTAAACATCTAGTTGTTCGAGGATACAATAACAACATCATTGATAGCGCTTTCGAAAGAGCAAACAAAACTAGTCGCCAAGAACTTCTAGAGTACAAAGATAAGAATAAAGCAGCTAACAGAACACCCCTTGTACTCACTTACCATCCTGATTTTAAAAATGTGTCTTCCATTGTT